GCAAAGTGATTTCTACCCTGTAAGAGGCCCCTTGGGAAAGCAGGGTTCGCTGTTATTTCTGTGAGTAGCCTTTTTCAAAAGCATGGATTTTCAAGTCTGGTTGCTCTTGACCTGGGAAGGGAGAGTTGGGGGGAGAAAAGAAGTCATGCAGAACACATGTTTTGCAGCATCAGCAACAGATGAGGGAGGATTTGACTTTAGCTTCAGGGAAGCAGAGTCAGAACTAAGTTGCCAGCATGTTGCACACTGGTTGAATGAAAAGCGTTGGATTGGGGCACTTACCAGAGCCAAGTTGTACTGCAATCTGTCCGTGATTCTGAATATTAAATATTTTATGGTGGTGATTGAATAAGTATATGTATTGGCACTGATGCCTTACGTGTTTCATATACTATCACTGAGGTCAGACCCAGAGTTGTTTAAATCAGCTGAGACGTTCTCATGGATTCCAGATCGTTTTAGATGACAGACTCCATGCTTAATGCTTTTGGAAGTTGGGAAATTTCTAAAAGAGTTCAAATATTTTGTTTTATTTTTAGTTTGTATGGTTTAGTTGTTTCCACATTTTTAATCTACATAATTGACATTATGCAGTCAGAATAAAATCTTCTGGAAGTAAGGTTCCGTGGGACATCGTAACAGATGGCAAAGTGCCTGGTTTTCCATGGTAGTAATAATACAGAAAAGAGAATATTCGTGTTCAAATTCCTTTCACCTCCCACCTTACATTTTGCAATGTTCTCTTAAAACTGTGCTCTGAATATCTCCCTAAGGCTTCAGACATGTATTCAGAATAGAAAAATGTAACAAGGTGCTTTACCATCCAATCCTTTAATAAATGGGGATATCTGGGCCTCTTCCTCCCCTTGTTTTTTTTTCTGCAGGTTATTCCCCTACTGACTGGAGAGAAAGAAGATGCATTGTATCAAAATCATCTGGTACTTTTTCAGTACTAAGAGCTGAAACAGGACCAGAATTAATATTGTCCTAAATTCAAGGAAAAAAAAATAGATTCTTGAGATCATTATACAGAGCAAATAGAGAATATGAAAATATGCTTATCTAATGGAAGAGAGTGAAAGCAGATCAGTCTAAAGAGGAGTAATAACACTTGTACCTTGTCTACTTAGTGCAAGATCTAAAAGCCCTCATTCCCTTCGTGCTGCTTTAGAACAATCTGTTGTTTGATGATAGTTCCAGCTTTTTATCCTACAGCCAGCCAAGGGCAGCCGTTGTGCACCGAACGCGTAAAAGGAAGATTGATAGCAGGGCTATTGTTCATCCCTGTGTGGGAGACTTATATAGCAACCGGCTTTGAAACAATGTCGGCTCGTTCTGATTAAAACAGCGTCTGTGCTGCCTGGGTGGTGGGAACGGGCTGATCTGGCTTAGGCCTCACTGTGCTGCTCGTGCTTGGTGGCTTTCCAGGGCCCCTTCCCATGCCGTGTGCTCTCGCCGGAGGAGGCTCCGCTCTGCTGGTCTGCCGGAGATCTGTTCAAGGGAGTGCAAGGGAGCGCTACTTTTCCCTGCTTGGTCTAATGCTCATCTCTTTTCCCCATAAAAATGTTAAGGTAAAATGATTTATATCTTTTCTACACAGATCTGTGCCAAAATCCATTGAATCCAATTTAGGGGGACTTTCACCAGCTTGTGGTTTCTGAAAGGGTCCAGAGGTGGAGCACCTCTGCCTGAGTGCTGAGCTACCGGGCAAGCGGTTCTCCTGGGCCATGCACTTGGCTTCGGGCTCTGTATTGTTACTCCCTCTGCCCCTGTCTTTGGGTGACTGGAAGTCCAAAAACTGATTTCCTTTTTCTTTTATGAAGAAGAAAGAAAAAAGAGGAACAGCACCTAATCCTTTTCTTCATGAAGAAATCTCTGGAGAAAGAACTTGTGCACTAGATTTGAAGACGTTTGGCACCACTTTTTCACTGAGATCCAATGGCATTTCACAATCCCCAGTCAGAACTGTCCACAGGAGAACAAGCATAGTGGTGATGCTCATCCAAATGATCAAGGAATGTCATACGCTGTGTCTGCTCATCACAAACGGATCAGCTTTAATTTCCTAGTCTGGTTGACAGCACAGGCTATTCAACATCGCCTTTGGGTTGCTAATCCTCAAAGAATCTATTTATTTCTTTTTCAATGTTATTGCCATGGAAACTGGCTAAATTGCAGGTCCAGATTACATCTTTACTGTTCCCTCCCTTTCATTTTGATCTGCAGACATTCTTCAGGTGCCAGGAAGAGGCAAAAGGCAAATCAATATTGTTCCTTGAAACATCTAGTCACTCCCTATGCCCTCCAGCCTCCACGCTGTGAGTGTAGCTGCTTGCGTTCTGTATCTCCCAGGGCAAGAGACTTGAAACCTGAAGATCTGTTACCTGCAGCCTCTTTTTCTGTGATAACATTGCTCAGCTGAGCTTGCGAGGGCAACCCAGCAGATTGCTTCCTTATCTATTTTTCAAGCCTTTGCAAGTGGTAACACAACGATGCAGAGAGAACAATCACCATTTGGAGCAGAAATCTAGGAAATGTTTTGCAGAAGCACTGAAACTGTTGAAAACAGGTGTGATCAGGTGAATTGCTATTGAAAGTACATATCAATGACAAGAATGGTGAAGTCTCTATGTCAGAATCCAGATAATGAAGTACTTAAGGGAAGAACATGTCTCTACTACATGTATGGTCTGCATGTAACAAATGATGGCCTAAACCATGGGTTTTGCTGTTCTCATATTTGGGGGATTTGAGTGCTGTCTTGAGTGTGTGAGAACTCTGAATTTATTTTGTTTAGGCATTCAGCTGAGTACAAGGTCAACATGCCCTCTCTTGTAACTTGGTCTGGATGCTTAGAGGTAGAATGTAGAGGCTATACCTCTTTAGAGACCTGTTGCAAGCTTTTGTTTTAACCAGAAGATAATGGAGTTCTTCCTGATGGAATAGTCTTTATCCCTTGGGAAATTTTGTAGGTTTGAAAGTGGATGGAGGGACGGGACTGAAATGAGTTATGTATGTTTTCTTTTAAGTGTTTGGAAAACCTGGATATGCATAAGTAGCCCCTAGGCAGCTATAAGACTAGAAACTGGCATTCACATGGCGTGTCCTAATACATGCTACTGACCTTGGTGGCATTACAAGAGTCATTTTCACACAGATAGCATTTCTGATGGAGTATTTATAATGCATTAGTCACTGATGCTTTTGCCTCGCATCAAGCGTTCAGATCCTTATGTCCGCTTCCCTTTCCACTCTACTTGAGCTACAGTCAAGTTACAAGGAAAAAAATCTGTTCTGCATTACTGTATAGTTTTGTCTCTGACCCTTTTGTAATACAGTTTCATTTTGGAGAATTCTTTCCGTATCACTGTAAAGTCTTTCACGCCAATACACATCACTGTGGATCATAAGAAGTTGAGGGGAAGAAGTGCCCTTATGTTGCATGGGAAAGCACTTGCACACTACAATTCTTCGTTCTTTTTGTACGTACAGGGTGTTGAGATTAATTCTTTTTCACTCTGACATGGCAGATGCCCTTGTCTGTTTCTCCAGAGAGTGAGTTAAGATTCTTTTTCACTCTGACATGGCAGAGTGCAGCACATGCCCTTGTCTGTTTCTCCAGAGAGTGAGTTAACATTGGTAATAGAATGGGTGAGTTTACTAAGTACAGGAGGTAGCACAATTATATGGCTTTAAGAGATTTATTTCTATCCTAATTCAATAACTTGTTAGTTTATATGAGTGATTCATTGGCAGAGGTTGCTATTGTTGCAGAAAGGCTTGTGTAAATTGAGCATGGCTGGTTAGATGGCTGGTTTGGGCTGAACCTGGTAATATTATGTTCTCTGTATCCTCAAAATTTGTACTCAGAAGAAATGAGGGGAGTTTTTAATTTTGAGGACTATCATTATCCAGTCTGTCTGCATGATTTGCTTGCTGTAGTGAAGGAGTGCTTTCCTTTGCTTTAGCCTCTGCTAGTGAGGGCAATGCCTAATCTCATTTTCATACTGCAGGAAAAGGTCCTCAGGAGCCAAACTCGTATTCCTGACTCTGTCATGGATTCTGGCAGTTTTCTTGCATATGAGATATGGCTTCCTGAGGGAGGAGAAATAAAGTAAAATCAAGAGCCAGGGAATGAGTGGGCACTTCTGAAAATGCTGGCCTCAATATGTCAATTTTTGTATTTCTAAAGTGAGGGATTATAAGTATTTCGCAGGACTCCAGCAAGGCTCTGTGAGCATTTGCAAAGTGTTTTAGAGATGTCAAGCATGTCAAGTGGCACTGCAATGCAAGGAACAACGTCTTCACTTCAGACCACACCTCTGGAGCATTCATACATTTGGTGACAGTCCCATACGGCAGCAGTCCATTAAGAGACTGTCATAGATCTGAGTGCCCCAGATGTATCATTCCCCTCTTCCCCAGAAAGTTTATCTGGACCAAAAGAAGAATAGTTTGTTTATATGTCCCAGACACCTCCAGAATATGTCAGAGCTGGTGTCAGTGTGCCATTTGTTGGCCTATGCACTACGTGCTGTTCGTGCCCAGAGCACTGTTTTACAGGATGGCTTGCCGTCAGTCTCAGAAGTGTGCGAAGGGCTAGACTCTGCGCTGGAGATCATGGCTAGTGCTCAGTTCACCTTACCAGAAATGCCTGCAGATTTTACAGATTATTGTGAATGCATCAAGCATAGTTTGAGAGTTCAATCTTTCAGAAAAAGAAGGGGAAAAAAAGTGTAATTAACCAATATCTGAAAGGAAACCCAGCTTCTTCCCTTTGTTTACCGATAATATGTAATTTTAATAAGTTGCCTGCCTTGTCACAGTTGGACATACAAACCTTGTCTGACATACTGTGGCTTTCCCTTGCACTTGGAGATTGAATGTACTACACAGAGCATGTGACTAATGAGATGGGGTTTTGTTCATCCTTTCAGTTAATTCTGTGTGTTCTTTTTCCCCCTCCTCCCTTTGTGCTGCACGGCTGATTACCACCCTAGGACCTTGCAATGGGACACAGACCCCTCAGTGCTGCAGCTCCAGTCTGACTCTGAACTTGGGTATATGTCAGCTCTTTTTGTTATTTGTTTATCGTTTCTTTGCAAGAATTATGTTGAAAACGCTTCCCAGTTGAGCTGGTTTTATGTGATTTTCATTTGCTTTGTTGACTCAAAAAGACCATAATTTAAGTTTCCTTTTTTTTTAGTTTCATGAATAAGAAGCTTCAGCAAAGCCATCTTTGTGTAAAAACCCAACTATTTAAAGAAGCTCGTGAAAAGATAAGCTGCTATTTCTGTTGCCTGAAGCACAATACAAATAACTATTTCATAACAGATGAAATGTTATTATTGTGGCACTTTAATGTGCATGTACAGTTACATTGGTCTTGTTTGTACCTGTTGATTCAGACTTTTCTCTCTGAATCATTTGCAAGGTACTTTTTCCCCTCCTTCCTGTCTTTGCCATAGTTATGCTGTTTCCACAAGTAGTAACAATATCCCCTTTTTCCTGAGGAACTGTATATGTCCTTATAATTGTGCACTTAAATATGATCATAGTCTAAGAGTAATTGCCATCTTAGTTGAGTTCAAGCCAATCAAACATTTTTAAAATTGTACTAGAGCTAAAATTAATATTTTCTAGTTTGGTATGGAACTTCTCTACCCAAAGCATCTGAAAAAATTAGTTAATTGAAATAATTTAGAAATGCCTGCCTGCAGAGATGTTTAAGATAAGATAAACTGTTCCTCTAAAAAGAATAGGTAGCTGTCCCTCAAGTTCTTCAGAGCTTGAGTGATAGGCAAAACCAAATCTCTATGTTGAAGAAATTGCTCTACCTACGAACTTATGGGCTTGCCTGTCTGAGTCTCCGGGCAGGCTTCTTATGCTTTTACTAGTTCATGTGAAATTAATTCACCATTCTATAAGAAAACCCACAATTTTCCTTTAACTTGATTGACAGTGCTCCCAGCTGCAGTTAGGGCTATTCACCAAGAAAGATGATCAAAAGGAGTCAAAAGCATCCAGAGAGCTTTTTATACAGGGTTTCTCCACATCCAGAACTCTCAGGAATATTTGTAATTTCCACCCAAGTGTGGCTTTAAATACATCTAGCTTCTACAACTTTACCTGGACCATACCAAAAATGTAGAGTTCCTTGAGCTGGTTTAATATACAGAAACCTTTTAAAAATCTCAGCTGCTCTTTCCCAGAAGTTTGGATTAAAAGATGAGCATTCCCAGGAGCAACATTCCTCAAACTGTGCAAGGCAAGGAGTCTTATTTGAGTCACTAAAAGATAATCCTCTGTATAGCCACAAGACTTCAATCTTTTATGAGTAGTCAGTGCAAAGACAGAAAAGAAGCCAAAGAGTAAATCTACAAGTATAATTTGTAACAGAAAAATCCTGTCCCTTCTGAAAGAAAACTGTCTTCAAAACCAAGGCAGAGTTAGAGAGAGAACCAGACTATCCTCTGGTATCATGAGACTAGATTAAAAAAAAAATACCTATGCAAAAGAAATCCTGCAGTCAGCATGCAAATGATGTGTGTAGTTAAACACTTCTAGCAGATACATCTTCCTTCTGGCTCCTACAGAGAGAGGAATCAATTTTAATGCATGGACTTCAGTTACTGTCCTCCTACTGACATCCCATAGGCAGCTTTGAAAGGAATCCTTCAAAGCTTATGTGCTCCATTAAGATGAATAGTCAGCAAACTGTAAATTATAAGAAATATGAGCACCTCAGATGAAAAAAGGGGATGGGAAAGGAATAGATGTTTTAGTGCTGCCCTAAAAAGACCTGGAGACTAGAACATTACAGTTCATACTTGGTAGAGTCCCAACACTGAAAGAGCACTCCAGTTGTCCCTAAGTGCTTGGGACCAAGGGCTAGGCCAACTTTTAGTTATGCAAGAACCATTACAGGTTGCTTAACAATGGCAAAAAAGAACTAAGTGACTGCATTCCTTCAGATTAAGAGAGACCTCCCTGTCTTCACCAGTAATTACCAGGATACAGCCAACACTAGACATTTGTAGAGGCATCAGCAGTTCCCCAACTAGAAGTGTTTTAGGTGAAAAATTCCACACATTCTGTCATCACAGTGCTCTGGGATGTAGCTCACCTCTTGGTTAGCAGTCTACAAAGAGGCCAACCCAACTGGTGGTGAAATGCAACTCTCCGTTAGGATTGATGTTCCCCATCCTCAAGCAGTTGACCTCATGTGAAACCGTTGTTAGAATTAGGTGAGGTTCTAATTAGGCCCAGATTAGACACATAATTAATTAGAGATTATACTTAACCAAGACCACAGTGAAGAAGCTCTTTCAGTGCAGAAGGCTTAAGAATCTCAGCAAATAGAACCAGTAGCCTGGGGCAGCAGAGGGCTGATTACATAGGAAAGTCTAACTGGCCAAGTAGGCAACAGATTTCACATCTGGTGCTGAAGCACATGAAATTTTACTGAGGTGAAATATTTTTTAAAGCTTGAATTCACACAAACCCCCAGTTAAAGCACCTACAGAAATGTAACGCTACTAAAACTTTCCTTAGCTGAAGTATATCACAAGCTGTAGAAGTTTTTCTACCCCCACATAGCATTTTCAGACAATCGTAGCTTCTGTTCTTATTGGCAAAGTTGCAGTTGGTTGTAAGGAGGGAGATGTGTTAATTTTTCCTCTTTGAAAAGGAGAAAGACTCAGAGCTGTAACAACTATTTCTGCTCTAGTGGTTTATTATGTGACACAGCTGATTCATACTGATTACCTGCTGAATCTAATTGCGTTCAGCTTAATAACAACTCCGCCAGTGAGATAGATTAGAAGAATAGACAGCTGATGTAGCGTTAACCAGCTGAAGAGTCAGCAGGTGTTGTCCAGTGATGACAATTTCCTCTTCAGGCTCCCATTTCTTTTCAGATCAATCTTAATTGAATACCTAAACCACCGTAAATGAATTAGATCAAAAAAACTTTGACCTCTGTTCTTCTGACAATCTGGAAAACAGAGAGGATATGGATAATGCGTATGAATTTTCTGCTTTTCCAAATTGCTCTCTCTAATGATGTGGCAGTTCAGAAACATCATGTCCATGAATTTATTTCCTATAAACGTATAAGCGTGCTTGCACTTGTTGATCTAGGCAACTGGATTTATTTAGTTGATTTGTATATTATGTGCATGTTCTTTGCTGAAAGTTGGCATTTTTCCAGTAAAACATTTGCAAGTAAATATTTGTTTATTCTTCCCTCCCTACAGACAGTCAAATAATATTCAGGAAAGAAATAGATTTCCATCCCCTCACTGTTGAGTGAACTGTGTATGACTAAAAGTGTTCATGATCATGTTCAGCTAGCTCTCTTCTTTTTCCCCTACCCACTTACAGTTAGTTGGCTTTACTGATTTACTTCATGTATTCATATTTATTTCATATTTAAAGTTAGGGATGTAGTAGAAGAAGAAGGCTCTACTTGCCGTGTTCCAGCTGTGTCTGAGAGCTCTCCTCCAACCCTTACATTAGGACTCTACTAATCATAAAGCTACATCAATTCCACTACTAATGACTCCTGTGGAAGGGGGAGTCTCCTTCTGTATGGAAATTAGCCACCTTGCAAATTAAAGGCTCTATTATTGCTCTCGGGTGATCATCTGTAAACCAACCTGGTTTACAACCACTGTGCCCTTTCCACTCTTGTGTGTCTCAGGCTGAGGATTAACTCTCTTGAGCAGGCAGAACGTTGTAGTAATGATGGTACGAAAAAGAATTTGGTTGCATGTTATGAGGGGCACAAGCATGTAATTTCTCTCTCCCGTTTACAGTCCCTCTCAGCAGCATGATCTGGAGTTCCATAACTGTACTTTATTATGGCAAATGCTTCCCAGGTTAGTTTTCTTCACTGCAACTAGGTATTTCTCATGCATCGTGTATTGTGTTTCATCTTAGCAAACACTGAAGTATTTTTTGATCCTGTTCATAAAAGCAAACACTCTTGTTCCTGCTGCTGACTTACAGTTAACTTGACTAACCTTTTGATGTCATGTATTCCGTCTTAGACGCAGACTGCACAAACTAGGGGTATCAAAGATCACCCAGGTTGATTTCTTACCTCGGGAAGTGGTATCATACTCCAAGGAGACACAGACACCTCTTGCCACGCATCAATCTGAAGGTAAGATTATTATTGGTTTTTTCAAAAAACATTTTCATAGAAAATAAGCACTCAAGTAAGAGTTAAAAACGTAAGGAAAATAATAGTAAATCATAATATAGCTACTTATCACATATTTTCTGCAAGCCAGGTATTGTTTGTGTGATTAATGGCTGTTCTGGTGAGAATAATTGTAATAATGACTTTAAATTCAGCTGGAACCAAACTACTTCTGCCTTACAATGGGCTGTGCTCAGATAACAGTATAATGAGAACATATTTTCAAATAAATCATTATGAATATAATTAAAATAGTGCTTTATTCTATTTTTCTTGCTTTCTCAAGAACATTATTTATTCTGTGCTTTGTCAAGAGGCTGTGATGGAAAGTTGCCCTCAGATTTTTGGTCAGTGTAATTGTGTCCCCCTCCAGTAGGTGATCTCAGGAGAAGCTACAGTTTAGCTCCATGTGCTGAAAAAGGAGGCTTACATACTTTCATGGGGACAGTTCTGCTTTCTCTCTGCTGACAGGTATTTCATCTGTACTCATGGAGCTGTTTGTTAGCTGTTAGGCTTTCCTGTCGATAAGTAAATACATGGAGCAGTTAGTAGGGGAGTGCTGATCTATCTGTTCCTTAGACTACATGCTTGCCAGAGTTGTACTGCAGAACACCGCTTGCAGGTCAGTTGAAACCATTTAAACTGAAGGGAAAACTGTACGTTAGCCTGATGTAGTTTCCATACTATTACAAAGCAGGTAGAAGAAGGAGAACTGGACAGTCTTGACTGTAATTTTTGCCGTTAACAACAAAGGATCAAGAAAAGTTCAACAATTGGGTGTTTTCCTGAAGCAGATAGTGTAGAACTTCACCAGGCTGTCTGTAGAAGAGGAAGATTCAAGTAGGTTGTGATAGGCCTGCAAGTAAATCTGTTTGAATAGAAGTTACTGGCAGGGAAGATACAGTGATAAACATAGCCAGCTTTTTTTCTGCAACTGAGTTACCAGGTCTGACTTTAAGAAACCAGAAATGAAAACTGCTGAGCTAGATACCCAGATTCTACTTTCCTGGATAACAAGTTTACCCTAGTCATCTGTTGCATGAAATAGTCCCTTCAAGCATAGACAACCCTGTTGCTTGGATGCTGCTTCTTGAGTAGCATGTCCGGACAGCTTTGCCTTCTCAGAGGGGGAGGCTGCCTCAGAAGCTTCCCTAGTTCAACCCAGCTCATCTCTGCTCATCTCTCTGGGGGCTGCTGAAGCCTCGAGAAGATGGGGTTTGCCCCTGAGGCCTTGCTTTCCTGGCTTGAGACCAGCAGGTTCTCAACCCTGGGGCATTATCATGGAGTCATTATTAGATAACATGGAGAAGATGCCTTTCCTCCCTGACACGGTGGAAGAGCCTATGGATATGTGGAGTTGAAGACATGGCTTTGATGTCTTTACCTCTCTCAGGCCTGCAGCTCCAGCACTCATTAGCTGACGTGCCTTTCTGAACAGCCCAACCTCTCTTGAGGAAGCAACTTTTTCTAATGAGTTCTTGTTTTTCCAAGGAGCTCTCCAACTATTACAGAATCCTTCTCTTGGGTAGACAAGAGGACGACCTCCTGCCCTTCAAGGAAAAAAAAAAATAAAACCAAACCCCACAGTGTGCTGCTGTGGAGCTTGCAGTCAGGACAGCAAGCACAGAGGGCAATGCGGCTTTTCCTGGTTCTCCCAATGCAGAGGAAGTTCTTGTTCCTCACCTGTATGAAAGAAGATAAATGCAAACATAAAAAGTGATGGACTTTAAACTGCCTAGGCCAGACCTGTGATGGGAAGGGTGAAATGGTGATAAGTGGTTTTGGTGACTGGGTTTATCTTTCATATTCTCTGTGTCATCATGGTCAAGGAAAAAACATCAGCAAAAGTGAAGTTTTAATATTTAAACACAGAGAAAATATCACCTGATCACTTCCCTCAGATGCGTGGGGGAGAGAAAGTTTAACTTGTATTTCCTTTCCAATCTGCTGCTAGGGAATTCTCTGCATGTAACTTGGACATGAATATGGCCCTGCATCAGTAAAGGAGAGCCAGGAAAGTTTGGTTATTCCATTGAAATGGTATTTAATTGGAAACTCTTCAGGGGGTAAATAAACTCTGCGATTTTGGTCTCCCAGGTCTGAGGGAAATTACTTCTGAGGTTTTCAATCTCCCAAGCCTCTTCGTGAATGCTGAGCCCTTCATAGTGTCACTATAAACAGGAACAGCAAACAGAGGGGAATTGCTCAGGAGAGCAGTTTTGAGAAGTCTCTACTCTGTTCCTATGCATTCATGTGATAAAATAGAGCCATTACCTTTTCAAGATAAATGGTTCAGCCATTACTATGGTTATGTGCTCAGTATCTAAACCCTTGGAGTCTGAGGAAAGAAGAAAAGAAACTCCGTTTACTTAGATGAGTCTGACTCCAGCTTTCAGAATTCACTCTTTCACTACCTGCCTTGGACACTGGAAATGTCAAAATGCAGAATTTTAGGATGAGATTGTCACACGCTTGCTTCTGGTTTGGAAGACAACTAGTGAAGTGTACAGCTGTATGGAAAGATCTTTCCTGTATGATTAAACTGCCGAAAGAGGACTTTGAGTCCATTCAAAGTTCTGCAGCTTTTTTTAAATGTCAGCATCAGGTTTTCTGCACGTTGCTTCTCTAGAAAGAAAGAAAGAAAGAAAGAAACTCAGAGGTACCTTAGACCTACTGCTGTCCCAGAGCTCAGTGGAGGTAGGCCTTTGTGGTAATGGCTATTCCCCGCTAAACCTTATAAAACTGGTAAAGGAAAGCTTCATTGCAGTAGGTACAGCGTGGTGCCGGAGAGCCAGATGCTACGAGTGCTGAAGTCTCAGCTTGTCAGCTGCTAATTTTAGAAGAAATAATGTGGCATTATTCTTCACTGTGTAAAAACAGATTAACTCCTCTTTTCAGAGCAGGTAATTCACTTTATTTCAGAGGAATAATGACATGTCATTTCCCCCCCCCACCCTGTTATTTAGGGAGATGTGTATATGCATCATTCAGCCCTTTGATCACAAGCACCTAATTCTTTTGCTTTATTTAGGTCACAGTAAGCTTCAGCCTTTTCTTTTCTTCCTTGTAGGATGACTTCAAAAACACCCAGATCTTGGCTCTGGAGCCTGAGGAAAAAAAAAAAGTGGTCTTTACTTTTCCCCTCCTACTTCTATAATTGGACTTGAATTTAGGTACTCATAGGCATTGAGAGACATTTCACTTGTGCCGCTTTTTCCATTCTGGAGTGGATTAAGACCTAGACTATGCCAAATGTTTTCTGAGAGGTTTCTGGGACACATTTCTTCACTGTACAGAGACTCTCACATTGCCCCAGAATGGCAGCCCCATGTAGCCTTCGGTGGCTGGACCCTCCAAAGCGCTGCAGAGCTGCCTTTGCTGAAGGCACACCTAGGAGAAAGCAGCAACAGAAAAGCCATGTCCTGAGACCTCTGCCCAGGGTGAATCCCTCACTGCCACACAGCAGTGGAAGGAGGTCTGTATGTCTGCCTGCAAGCTACCTTTTCAGATGGGAAAATTGCCTGCACGTTCAAGCTCTGCTGGGTGCCTGCCTCAGCTTCCGCTTACTGTTCTCCTGCTCTCTAATGGGCCAGGAGGTAAAATCTCGGTGAGGAAAACATCACACTGTACCTGCTCTGGGAAGGGAGATACTCCTCTGATCTGGCTCCCCTCAAAACCAGGGGGCCAGCAAGAAGGTTAAGGTCTGTGAGCTCTCTGGCTTTGCTGGCCAGTGTCAGGAATGTTGTTACTCCTCTTCTGTGAAGTAGAAACTACTTCTTCGTTGATAAAATGAGGTGTTGTCACTTTTCTGGCTTGCCGGACTGTCACTGCAAATAGGTTAGTCTGAAATACATTTCTGAAAAAGTAGATCCTGTATACAGGGGAAGAAGATCCAACTTTCTAGAACAGTGGAGGTCCTATATACCTGTTTGTCATCTTCAACAGATGGTTGTTCGTATGGGGAAAACAAACGTGTTACCGTATTCACCTCCTGAGCAGGATCACCTCATCCTACATCACAAATGTTTTCCCAGTTCTGGCAAAGAACACAATTCAGACCCGTGCTCCATCTGTTTATCTGCTGTATTCAAATAATGAGGATATTTTGGCTATTAGGGGAAGAGGGAATATAAGCTCTCTACTCCATTTGGAAGTAGGCTGGAATGAATTGGCAAAACGGAGGCGAAACTCCAGAGGCTGGGTTGGGTTCTGCATCACTCTGACACTGTAGTTCTCTGAAAGTTCCTGGAAGTTACCCTTTTTAAAGTTCTGAGGGAGGAGGGGATTCTGCTCACAGTTTAAGGCTCACGAGACCAAGTCACGTGAGTTTAGGCATCTGTGTGTGATACCAAATGTAAGGGATTACTGTAGGGTGACCCAAAACTCTCTCTAGACACCATTGACTGCATCGATTAGTTCTTCACTAACTAGCTTGATAGCAGAGCATTTCATGTAGACATATTAATGTAGGTTTCTCAGTATTGAGTAAACTGCATATGGCTAAAAGTGTCATACACTAACACTGTGTGAGGGCTCTGTCCTTCTTTGGGATTTAGTAATTGGATGAGGAGTCACCTGTGTCTAGGACTGACAAGCCCCAATGCTGTGAAAACAAGTCAGGCCCCTGGAAGTTCCATGATTGAATCCACAGATAAAGTTATTTTTACTTTGATTGTTAGGGGCTGAGATTTCCAGGTTTTGTCAGTGGTGAGCTCTGGCTCTCTCTATCCCGTAAGATAATGTGCATCAGACCTCTAGCACAGCAAATTCTGCACCAGGCCTGCTGTGCCTTCCCGTGTCTGAGTGTAGCTCAGCCCTCCTAGCTTTGTGAAGGCAGCTATACTTAAAAGCCAGTCCCAGAACTGAGATCATACTTGAACTTTCCAATGCCCAATCTGTCTAGAGCTCATGGATCTGAAGCTGGGAGTTAAGCTAAAGAGCTTGTTTTGGCTTTTCCCTTC